GTCGTTTGTCGCCTCCTTCGTGTAGAACGACGACGAGTGTCCCGACCCCGGACGGACGGGCGGCGACGTTCGTTCCGGTCGTCGTACGTGTACGCTCGACGAACACACACCCCCCCCCCCCCCCCCCCCCCCTCCGCCAGGCTGCAGGATGACCGCTCGACTTGGAGGGCGCAAAGCAGGCCGGCGGGGTTTTACCAACTTCGAGCAGCAAATAACGTACATCAAAGCGTCGCCGCCGCCGGCATCGACCTGCCTGCTCGCAAGCAGGCAGGCTAGGGGCTGCACTTCTCTCTGGCTCCTTCGCTAGCTGGGCCTGGCCTGCTGGATGAATCAAGAGCGCCGTGTATCAGCGACCAGGATGGATCCCTCCCAGGCTAGGCCTATTGTCGCCTTATCGTCGTTGCCGTTGTGCGCTGTATGTCTTTGGCCAGCCGGAGCTCGTCGTGATCTCTGCGCGCGGTCTCGTCACCGCCTTTTCCCCTGCCACAGCACCGGTAGCGGAACCTCTTTTCGAGACGGCAGCAGGCAGGCAGACCTACTCTTCTGGCAGGCCACCCCGGCCTGACCGCACGCGCGCCGGCCTTTCGATGCGCATGAGCAAGAAGAGGCTGCAGCCACGCAGCAGCAGAAGGAGGCAGGGGTGAAGCCGGCATGGCAGAGGCAGGGGCGAAAAAAACCAAACCCCCCCCCCCCGCTGCCCTGCGCTAACCTGCCTGCCTGCCCCCCAAGGAACTCTTCTGCTTGCCTTCCCGCTGGCGCCCCGCCGGGGGTCGACCGACCGACCAAAAAAAAAAAAAAAAATCCTGGATTGCGCAGCAGCAGCTCAGCCTCTGGCCAAAGTGCCTGCCAGAGGGCTTGGAGGAAGTGCGGTGGAGCCAGGCCTTCTCGGCCCACCCGCCAGGCAGCCCCGCCAGTCGCTGGGCCGCCGCCCACGCTTCGATGGTGGGTGTGGCTCCCTTGGGTTTCTTCTCGTCTTTCATCCACGCCTCTCGCCATCCAACACCATCACCAGCTAACAGATCCCAACGCAGACACACGCAGCCTTGCCTTCACCGCCCATCTCCTCGAAGCCATCGTCCTAAACCATCGCCCGATCTCGACTAGCTGCGGCGACTTCAGCTCGTCCTTGCTTCCTTGGTATCGCCTCACCCCCATCGGCCGACTTTCTTGCGACCGACCGGCCTCGCCAGTTGAGCCGTGATTCTCAACCCCCCTACCGCCAGCCGCTGCTCTCTTGTCCGCCTGCGCCCCAGTCAGCGTCTTGCACCGAAGCTTCGGCCTCGACATCGTTCAGGTCAGACGCTCGCGGCAGCAACTAGTCCTCTAGAACCCAAATCCTGGAACATGCTCATCGTCGTTGGACGCTCCCTCCCGCTCCTCCCAAACTCTTCGCACACCCGCGGATTCTTCTACCTTAATACGAGCATCTCGCACGCCTGCTCAACCGGCCGGCGCAGAACCACGCCTTTCGAGCCCGGCACAGCCGGCCTCTCCCGTCAGTTTGAGGCCGCAGAGCCTTGAACACCCCAACGCAGGGCATCCGCCTCGACCAGCCTCGCCACGTTAATCCGGCGACAGAGGCCTGCACTGGCACCCGAAACCGACCCTCGCTTGAGGCCACGCGAACGCATACATGTCCCGATCATTGACAAACGATCTCAGTGAGTGCGCTGTTTCCGCGTCGCAGAGGACGGAGATGGGACGGTTCTTCCGGACGCGATCCGGATCACCTGGCTCACCCCGATCGCGTCTGCCGCGCTATCCGGTTCAGGTCACTCCACCCGGCCTCTAGACTACCCCTCGTCCATCAACGTCAAGAAGGCCGCCAAGCTCAAGGGCTCGCCCTCACCCTCGCGACTCAGTCCCGGCCTCGGATCAAAGCATCGCTCCTCGCGACTCAGTCCCGGCCTCGGATCAAAGCATCGCTCCTCGCAGCACCGCTCCCTCCAGCAGCGCAACCAGCGCGGCACCGCCTCCCCCAGGCTCTCTGTCTTTTCGGACGACGAGAATACACCGAGCTCGTCCAACGACGGCGACGGCTACGACGACGACGACTACGACGCCTCATCGGCGTCCCACCACCACCATCTCCCCGGAATCAAACTACCCGTTCCAACGCGCAGCATGCAGCAGGCGCCCAAGCACCAGCGCATGCCGCACAAGAAGGCCTCCAAGGCAGGGCCCAAAAAGGAACGCGTCCGTCGGGAGCGCAAGTCGGCGGTGCGGAAGCAGCGCTTCGATGAGCTCGAATCCGACTCGGACCTCACAGACATCCCCTCCAGCGACGATGAGCCGTCAGTCTCCCGCGTCGACAAGGGAAAGGCCAGGAGCAGCGATCTGGCCCTGTCCGACTCGGACACCGAGATGGAGAAGAAGCTCCTCGAGGCTGGAGACGGCGAGTCGCTCCTCGGCTCCGACGGCGAGGAAAACGAGCTGGACGAGTCGCGATTCATCATTCGCGACGCCCTCAAGAGGGAGGCGAGGGCGCGCGCAAAGGTGCGCAAGGAGACGACGGGCCAGCAGTCCAGCAATGGCCAGGATTGGAGCAGCCGAGGCGACACCGAACACCGAGCAAGATCCTCGACAATACGTCGACGCTCGACTGCCGGAGGCGGAACCGGCGGCGATCCTGCCAACGTCGCCAACGAGGCCGAGGGTGAAGCCGATGTCGAGGACGGGGAGGACGAGGCGGACGCGGACCTCCTCTCGCTCTCGCCCGACGCCATGAGGCTCTACGGCCTTCCCTACGTCGAGGATGAGATCTTTGAGGAGCAGGAGGGCTTCCGCACCTCGTCCGAACCTTCCTTCACCGACTTCTTCGAGACCTCGACGGACAGCGAGACTGCGCCCGGAGAAGCAATGCGCGACGACGACGACGAGTTTACCACCGATTCCGACACCGACGAGGACATCAGCGACCTCGAGAGCGGAGTCCTCGAGGCCCCGCTGATCGCCCATGTCGGCACCGCCCAGGAACTTGCCGCCACGCATGGGGATGCCGCCGCCGACGCCACCGCCGCCCAGCCCGATGTACCGCTCCTGGTGATCGAGGACCTCGATGGCCGGCTCATCTATGCACGCGCCGGCGATGGCGAGGCCGTCTTTGGTTCCGACGGCGAGTTCGAGTTTGTCGACGACACCGACGACGACAGCACCGACTACGAGTACGACGAGCACGGGAATCGTGCCCTGCCCAGCTGGGCCTCGATGGGCATGCTCGGAGCACCCGAGGACGACGGCGACACCACCGATGAGCTGCCCGACGAGGACATGCCCTACCCGCGCTTGTTGGTCGGATCCGTCGCGCCCCGTGGAGGCCGCAACTCGCGGCGGGCTCGCGCACTTGCGGCCAAGTCTCGCATGTTGTCGCCCGCTAGTGGCCTGCAGAGTGGCCTGCCGTCCCCTTCGACCAAGGAAACCGCCGAGCTGCTAGCGTCGCAGAGCGCCGCCGACACGGTGGCCGAGACCGGCGTGGCGACTCTCTCGGGTCCCGCTGCCGGGTCCGCGCCCAGTGCAGCCGGCAGTGCCTCGGCTTCGCCTGACCAGCCGCCGCTCGAGGTGGACCTGACCATTTCGACCGACGACCTGGCGCGCGACCCGGAAGGCACCTTGAGAGTCGCTGCCGAGGCGCTCGGTCTCACGCTCGAAGAGGCCGCCAATCTGGTCGCAGGGGTCCAGCTACCTTCCACGATCACCAGCTGCGAGGCAAGCGCTCCGTTGGCTGGCTCTTCGCAGCATCATCGACGAGCCTCCACTGACGTCGCCGCCACCGCTGCGGCCCCGAACGCCTCTGGTCAGCCTCCGCGGACGCCAGACGTCCCCCGCAGCGCCAACTTCGTCAAGCCCGAGATGGGATCGTTCATGCCCACCTCATCCAAGTCAATCCACCGAGCTGTGATTGACGGATCGAAAAAGGCCCCGTCGCCCTTTTCGGGCAAGAGGAGCCTGCAGAAGAAGGGCCTGGCCAAAAAACGCACGGCGGCGCGACGCAGCTCGCTCAACGACCAGCTCAGCAAGCGTCAGCGCCGCTTCTCGTCGACAAACGACGGCGCCTCGACCATCGAGGAGCTCAGCGAGGTGGCCGCCTCGTCGCCAGAGCCGGAGCCGGTGGACCCGATGGACCTCGACGATGTGGTCAACGCCAACATGCTCTGGCGCGGCAACTCCTCCAAGTCTCCCTCGCCCGAACCATACGGCGGCAGCGCCACTGAAAACGAGGGCACTTCGACGATGCGGTCGGCGCAGGCAAACGGTCGCCCCGGCCTCAACCTCAACGCTTTTGCCCGCTGGGACAAGATCCCGATGGGCACCTTCCGCGACTCGCAGCGGGCATCGTCGGCCTTCGGACAGAGCCAGCACCAGCAGCCGCTTGGTACGTTCCTTCTGACGCGTTCCCACGGCCGCTCGCAGCGGCGACAGGAGCACTCGCCCTTCCGGACACCTTCGGCCGCCGCTGGCGATATGGAGATGTTCTCGATGAGCCCCATTCGCCCTCAACACCAGCTCTCCGCCAACGACGAGGCCGAGGCGGGTCAGGGCGGGGGCCGCCGACGACCATTTGTCATCTCTCCGGTGCTCTTCCCCACCCGATCCGGCGACATCGCCAGCGCCAACGGCAGGAGCACAGTCTCGTCTCACGGGGCTTTCTCGCTGGAGCGCCATGCCAGCATGCCACAGGGCCGCCTCGGTGGTGTGGCATCGGTCGAGTCGGCCTCGAACAACAGTGCCGGACCCGGACGGATCACTCGCCGGGAGAAGAGGGAGCGGAAAGCTCGGCGTGCCGCCCTGCTGGCTACGAGGGCCGACAACAACGACGACGTCAAGTCGGTGATGAGCGCGCAGAGCGAGCCCTCCCGCTCTCCTCATCCGATTACGCCGCAGCTGCCGGAAGCCGGCTTGCATGGCCTCACGACCAAGGACCGCAGCGATTCGCCGGCCACTGCTCTGCCGCGCATGCGCATTACCGACGCCTCGCCCACGCCGCGTGCCTCGCCAGCGCCAGCCCCGAATCCGGCACCCGCGACCTACGCTTCCGTGGTCGGCATGGGACCACCTGCCGCCACGGCGGTCCAGGGCGCCCTCGACCCGTCGTCTGCAGTTGGTGGCGATAGCAGCAGCAGCCCCGTCGGCGGTCTGGCTGCGCGCTCGCATCTCGGCCATGTCCAGGAGGGCGAGGCGGTGGGAAGCAGAGCTAGCCTGTTGTCCAGCTCAGGCGGCCTGCCGTCGTCTGCGTGCAAGACCCCGCTCCACTCGCCGCTGTTTGGTGGCATCTTTGGCAACATGGTCGACGACCTCGACGACCGGGATGGCGAGAACGCTCTCAGCATCTGACGAGGGACGCGAGGCACGGTCGCGCAGCAAGCACTGCGGCCTGGTCGGTGGGTGGCCGCTAGCCCCGCAGAGGAACGGCGCACCCCGCCACCACCATCTTCGACATCACAGCAGGCGCTCTCGAATAAGAGGAGCGACACTACACTTTCCCTGTCTCCGCACGATCAAAACGACCCGGCCGCAAACACAAGCATCGATATCTGTTCCGCGAACTGGCCCCGCCATCCCGCGCGAGGTCTTGGGATTTCCTCTCTCTCTCTCGAACTGTCCAGGTCCATACCGAAATCGCTGGATTTCTCCTTTGTCGATCCGTCTCTCGCCCTTTCAGCAACCCTTGTAACTACGTACCGCCCTCGAGGCACCTTGAAACAACATCAGTGTCGTGGTCCGTTCGCAGCTGATGCTCGCCGAGGACGGCTCCAATGGCCAGCCAGTTGCCGCTCGTGAAGGGGTTGAGCAAAAAGCCCGAGAAAAAACAAAGGTGACGGAAATTCGCCACGAAAACGCTCGCCGTGCCGGGGACCCTCTGTCTGACCTCCGGCCTCGGCGAAGGCTGTCCCGTCCGGTGTTTGGTCAGTGCAGGAGGCGTCCGGCGGCGTGACATTGGATGGTGGAGTGGACAGTAGCGAGAGGCGCTGGCGGTGCAACCTGCATTGACGGACCGGGATGGCTCCTGGCGCAAGTCTTGGACTAGTCAGGCGCTGCGCCACTCGGTTGTCTGCCCCCATGCGACGACGGCGATCTCTTACCGAGAGGCCGAACGCGCAGAGCACATATGTACAGTACGCCCGTCCATACATACAGAAGGCGAGTCTCTGTCGTACAAGCGGCGGTCTACAGCTGCCTGCCTTGCTTGGCAGGCCGTGCTCGGTCCGTGCAGCTCGTCTAGTCTTGATTGCTGTCGCGATGTGCGACGTGTCTGATCGCCGTCGAGCGTCGCACGAGGCTCTTCCAAGTCGCTGGACGTGGCGTCGCAACCACCGGACGTGATCTCGAGCTGTCGACCGCTTCCCGTCCTTTCTCGCACGGACGGGCATCGACCACAGATCGACGCCCTGTCCAGCCCGTCGCAAAACTTGCGCGATGGCCCGAAACGACGTCTACAGGCGACTTCGGCGACAATCGGCCCCTTTCGGGCAGAACGCCTCGTGAACGGACCAATCGTCAAAGACCACCATACAGGCTTGCTCGCAAGCACTTTAGCGCGCGGATCAATCCAGCACCCGTTCGCCAAAGGCGTCCGGACCCAGGCATGGTTGGCGCATTTAACCCGAGCAACGAGGCGCGAAGCGCAGCCGCCGTCGGCGCCTGAACGGGGCGTGCGACGTCGGGATCGAAGAAGAAAGGAGAGGCGCCAGCCCGCCCCGACTTGGCCCTGGCCCGCCTTCCTGTTCCGCCGTCCACGCACGCCCAGGCTAGGACCTCTTCGTCTAGTACAGTACGTGGGCTTCGGGAAGCAGGCGACGGTCGAACCAGGGTCCACGGCCCCAGGGGTCCGATGCTGATGTGCAGGGTCCAGAACCCTTTGCAGACGGGCCGACCACGTCGTCTGAGCGCCTCTCGCGACGCCAGGCTCCGCACGCTGCGCCGGTTGACCGTTGCCATCGAGCAGCACACCTGTTCGCTGAGCAGCGCAGCACGACCAGTCTCGACGTCTCCGTCCACACTCTAAGGCTAAAGACCGTTTCCCCCTGCACAGAAGTTCGCGCGCAGCAGGTCTGATGCAACCCCTTGTTCCCACAGTCCGGACTCAGGATACCGAGCGGCAGACTGCCTACGCACAACAGAGGCTGCCTAGCTGGACCAAGGTAGGTGTTTAGCGTCTCTTGCAGCCTCTATCGACCCGACCAGCCCACGACAGGCCACCGAGATGTCAAGCTTTCTGCTCAAATTCGCCAGAGGGCGATGGCGAGGCGGTTGGGACATCTCCATGGACGAAGTTGTCGCTGATGACTCCTGTATGTAAGTCTCTAGCCCGCTTCCGGCGAAAAGCTGACTGAGGCCCCCGAGATACACAAGTAAGCAGCAAAGGCATGAGGCCTGTACCAGTACCACTAGAGGATCTCGCACAACCATCGCATCGGACAGTGCGTGTGCAAGTCGACATGAACGAACACGCGAGCCTCGAGGAACCTGACCGCTTCAGCCTCTCGCGACGTGCACTCGAAGGGCCTGAAGTGGCACTGTCGGCACCCACGACTCTCTCTGTCACGTACCGCTCGGCGAGGAGGCCTCTGGACCCTGTATCGATCGACATATTCGGGCCCGCCCTCCTGTTACCGGTAGCTGAAGCCGAGGCTCGACTTTGTAGAGTGAAGCTAAGCAGCGACTAGCGCCCTCATTGCCATCTCCGTGCCTGCGACAAACGGAAAGACAGGTCGCCAGAGGAGTGCATCTGTACCACAAGAACGTCTGTTCCGGCAGTCGCATAATGCCTGCGGTTTGTGGCCCCTCGGGCAGGAGAGCTTCCCAGAGCGGCCGCCGATGCTCAACAGGCAGGCCCCGTACTGTATGTATGTACCGGAGAGGTCGACGATCCTGCTCCGTGTCCTCCCCCCGTGATCCTGGTGCGTGATCCTGGCGCGGATGAGCGTAGGTACTGTATCAGCCGCGGCCCCCGACTGGCGATCCATGCGGTGCTCGATGGACGCCAATGGACTGCCGTAGAAAGATGTCGTCTGCCTGAAGGCCATGGCAGCGTCGCCCGACCTGGTCATGCCTTCATCCGACGCTGTCAAGCAAGGAGCCTGCCTACTGCTTCTCCTGAGCCCTTGTTGTGCACCCGATCGACGCTCGCTGCCGGGAAAAGGCCATGCGAGCGAGCGGCGCCGCCATACGACTGGCGGTACCGTACATACATCCAACCGGGAGTCGAGCCGGTGTGACTGCTCGTCTACATGTTCGGCTTGGCAGGTCTTAACTTTGCCAAGAGTCGACGACGCTGATTGCGGACGGCGCTCGACGACGACGACGACGACCGCTGCGACGCTAGCGCGACTGTGATCTACCGGTATCGATCAAAGATGAGTTGCCCCGCTGCGGCACGCATACCTCGTCCTACGCCGACGCTTTTGCTTGGCTGTAAACGGGAATGTCGTCGGATACCGCGGGCACGATCACGCCGCGTTGTCAAGCCGTGTAGTCATGGAGCACGCGATGGCGCCGATCCCGATCTTCCGCCTCCCCTGGCCGTTCCTGGCCGTGTCCGATCGCGACGGCCAACGGCGAATATGACGGCTATGTGCCTCTCTGCTCGCTGTGCCGGTCAAGATGCCACCTGGCACCCCCATCGCTTTCCCGTGCAACAGAAGCTTCTTGCCATTCGAGAACACGGGGAAACCAGGCAACGTAGGCACATCCAATCGTCGCTCGTCGGTCGCTCTACATAGGGGCGGCAGGGCGGTTCAGGGCCGGATGGCGACGGCGCGGAGGACAGTAATGGACGTCTTTGTGCTGAAAACAGGGTCTGACGTTGCGGCGGCTTCGGGTGGATAGATGGCGAAAGGGTTTCGGAACACCTTCACGGCCAACAACCCCGTCGTGTGGATACCTAGGGAATGACGTAGGGGCCGCGCTCGACCCGATCAGCGCCGCACGTCGTCGAGAAGATTTAGCGCTCCTCCGCTGCACTTAAATGAGATCATCCAGCGATTCCGCCGACGTCAGGTCGTCGACCTTGCTCTCCGGATCCCGAGGCAATAGGCTCGAAACACACCAGGACGGAGCAATGTGGCCCGGTCTAGTGGCGTGGCCGACCAGCAGGATGACACCGGCCTGCTCTTGCCTGGTTTGTGCTGCGGGCCGACTTGATGAGGCACTGTACGGCAGTGTCATCTGGCAAGAATCATGCCGTGGTCCCTTCCACGTCACGTACCGGTGGAAGCGCATTGCTGTTGGATAAGCTTCAAGGTCCCGAGCAACGCAGGAGAGAGTGCACCGTAGAGTTGCTGTAGCGCGTGCGGGTGTGCGGGACTGCTACCGCTACCGTATGACGATTCCCTGCTCCCTTTTTGCCGGTCGAGCATAAGCCGTTGCGATCAAGGGGCCAAGTTTTAGAGCGGTACATGCCAGCATGCTGCCGACGTCCACATGTCGTCGATCCGTTGGTGCCTGTCGTCATTCTACAGGCCGGGCGCGGTCGCTTGGCCCAGCGGCCGCGCGTTGGCCTGGCCTGGCCTGGACGTCGCCGACGGTCGTCGCTACATAACTTCTCCATCTCGTTGGCTGTGATACAAATAAAACTTACACACTAACTTGTTATTATTATTGGTGCTACGTCTGTCCGAGCGTCATGATGATCCGTCTCACGTTCGGCTGAAAGCCGGTTCAGGTAGGGCATCTGCAACTGGCCACGATGATGTATGGAGGCGGAGTTGCCCCAATGTGCATCCTCGTGGGTGCCGACCCAGCCACGGATGGCTAGGCGAGGTTGCGATCAACGTCAGAGCGCGCACACCGATGCTGCTGCGGCCGTCGCGGGTGGCTCAGCCGCGCCATCAGCTGTTCCGATGAGCTGTAGCCGGCCGCCTGAGCTGCTACTACTGTATGTACCTGTGGTGTGCCGGTCTCTGCCAGGCGAGGCCCAACATATATGTTTGCGAGTGCATCTGCGTGAGGAAGCGCAGACGTCGTGCAGCCTGAAGGAGGGTGGGTGACAACGGGCCCAGGCCTCAGGAAGGACGTGGTTTGTTGTCTAGCATGCGCCGACGATGTTTGGCGTCGGCTCGAGTAGTTTTTAGACTCGCGGCGGAAAGGGTTCAAGGGCGCCACACCCTCGCACCACACTACCCTCTTCTGGCCGCTGCCGGGGGGCAAGGCAGGGGTCCCCGTCTTGGCAGGCGGGCAAGTGGATGGTGGCCGGAAAGCAGCTGACGATGTCCAGCGCACGGCGTATGCGGCCTGCCCGCCTGGCGATCCCCTACCTGCCTGCTTTGCGGCCCCGCGCTGAGACTGCGCAGCGACTTTGGCTCTTGCAGATTTCGAGCTCCGCCGTCCAGCTGGCGAACTAGAGGTTCAGTCGCCGAAGCCACATCCACTTAACCTGTACGCTGCCGGCTTGGCCAATGGACTACTCTGCGCCTTCGACCGCCTTCTACGTGCATAGGTGAGGTCCGGGCCCTCCTGAGCCGCGGACGAGGGCCAAAGGGGAGGAAGCGGATGCTCACCTCGCAGGCCAGCCGCAGCCACGATCACGGCAGCGTCGAAAAAGCGGTCCCGCCCACGTACTCCCCACCTTCGAAGCACATGTCCGTGTTCATGGCCCGCTCAGTCTCTGATTAAGATTCTTGAGTTGCACATTCGCGCACAGAGTTGCCGGTTACCCCGAAAGCAGGGAACAGGCACAGGCGGGCGCGGTAATTGTTCAGCGCTGTACCTGCCTGATGCTGCTGTGTGTTGTTGGTATCATGGCTGGCGACTGCTCGACCAGCTGCGGGTGTAAGCAGCGCAGCAAGCAACGGCTCAAAAGTACGTGAGCTCTGTTCGGCCTCGAGGAGAGGTCCCTGCATCCTAACCCTCCTGGGCTGCTTCACCTTCGACCGTCAGCCACCATCCGTATGCTGCTGCTTACTTTAGAGAGAGGCCTGTTTCGATCGACTCCCCATGCGTAGGTGTGCACAGCCTGCTCAAGAGTCCACACGCCGCTGGCCTGGCAGTTTCCGTTCCACCTCCGACGCCAACGTCGGCGAGGCCGCCCGCTGCCACCCCTCCTTTCTTGTGCTCTCGCTCCCGAGGGGAGGCGGCCTAGACGGCCGCCGGGACTGTCTGATTCCGTCTCCGACACTCTCGAACTGCTCTAGCTGCTGGATTCTCGTCTGGCTGGCGGAGCAAGTCCGCCCTGTGCCCAATAGCTTCCAGACTTCAGGTGATCGCAGACAGGGGAGATGCCGCAGCAGGAAGGCAGCAGGCTGGGGAGACCTGTGAAGGGCGCAACGCCTTCCTCCCCCTCTTCCCCCGCCCCCGGCATGATGCCGAATGGGTGGGGCGGTCGATGCACGAGCGATTCGGCCTCAGCCAGAAGGGCCAGGCCATGCTGCGCAAGGCGGCGTCTGGCGTCGGGGAGATGCTGCTTCCATTCGTCGGGCTTGCGTACTGGTGAAGGCCTTCAATCGCCGACGTGGCGCGGTAGCCTGACGCGGCTGCCACGTACGCCAGTTGGGCCCGGCCAGCCATCCCGCTACCGGCTGCCACCTGATGGTGCTGCGCTGTCGCCGCCCGACGTAGGTGATGCTGAGCCGCTCCAAAAACGTACGGCAGGAGCGGACAGGGGGACTCCAGCATGTGCGGCCAACGGTGGTGCGAGCCGCTGCGCCGAGATTCAAGACTTCTGATAGCCGGACCTCGCACCCGCTCTGATTCTCGTCCCGGGCCAAAGAAAGCGCCCTAGGCCTGCTCAGAGGCAGGCAAGCAAGGAGATGGGGGCGATGAGATTCCCTGCCATCTCGTTTGAGCGTGGCCTTGCAGGGCGGACGACGGCGGCGACGGAACCAGAGGCAGGCCAGGCTAGGACGGGAGGACCCGTCGGCGAGCCCGACTACGTAGGGGACGAGAAAGGCGGACCAGCTAGCCCAGCTGGCAGTCGGAGGGAAAGGCAGGGCCGTGACGACTTCGGGCCAGTCACACTCGACCCTGGGGGCCAAAGCAAGCAGCAGGCAGGCAGCAGGCAGGAAGGCGGGCGGGCTAGGGGTTCGAGGGGGCAGCAGCAGGCAGGCTTAGGCAGGGCAAAGAAAACGCCCTAAATTTGCGCTACGCTGGCTGGGCGGGTTGGCCGTGGCTTCTTGGCTGCCCCGCCCTCGCCCTGCCTGCCTGCCTGGCTTTGCCCGACCCTGCCTGCTTCTCGTCGCGACGGGCTGGGCCGCCAGCTGCCTGGCCTGGCCAGGTGGCCTGCCTGGTGCCTCTCTCTGTCTGCCTGTCTTTCTCCGCCCCCCCCTCCCGTTCAGGGTCTCTTTTTTCCACCCGATCGCTCTGTCAATCTGGTTCCTGCTGCCTGGCCTGGCCTGGCCTGGCTGCCCTGCCTGCCTCTCATCCATCCCCCTCTCCGTCCAACCCTCGGGTCTGTCCTCGACTCGCCCATCACATCTCCCCCCTCCTCTTCCCGTCCATCCAGATCTTGGATCGCTTCTTCGCACGCCTCGCCTCTCCCTCTCTCTCTACCTGGCAAAGCATCCTGGGCCGCCTTTTGCCTGTCCCTTCGCTCGCCGTTCCCCTGCCATCACACCGCGCCTCGCTGGCCTTTCGACTACGTAGCGCGCAAACCGCCTGGCGCTTCCCTCCCCCCCTCTCCCTCGCCTCGCCCCTCGACGACGACCCGGCGATCCTCACGTCTCCTGCCCACCTCACCGCCTGCTCAGGCCGCCCTCGCCGTGGTCATTCGAGACGGCACCCGCACCTCTTCCTGGATAGACCCTGGCCCCGCCGGCGCCCTCCCCATCCCTGCGTCCAGCCCGACCCGTTGACGTCTGCCCCTACCGCTCTCTTGGTCGTCAATCCCCCCTCGTGCGGCCCCCCACCGGTCGTTCTCTCTACCATCCCCCTTCTCAATCACCACGACCGTCTGCCACACTTCACCACTTCTCCCGCCTTCGACTTCTTCCTCCTTCGACCTTGGACCTCTACGACCGTTGCAGAAGCCCGTCCAGGTCATCATCCACTTGGCCGTAGTCCTCGCTACGCTCCACAGCTACCAGAACCGTCTTTCGCCTACGTACCAGCCCTCATACCTACGCGGCATCTCCGGATTCGCCGCTGGCCCCACCGACTGCTTCCCATTTGTCGGAATCCGCGAAAAACGAACGCGTCTCGACGTGACGCCTCGTCCTGCCCACTAGTAGCGCTTCGAGTCTGCCATTCGAGGCTCGAGCGACCCCTTCTCCATCCTTAGTCGCTGTCCGACGTCTTGCCGCGCGCTGCTCCACCCTGCCACATACACGACTCCCTGCAGAGGAGAGAGCAGGCTCGATCCGACCATCAACGCGACGCGCGATCCGCGACTCCATCTCGAGCGTCCCTTCCAAATCCACCTTCAGCGGCGAAACATCCTGGCTTCCCGGCCCGCGACTTCATCCCACCCCGACCTCGCCACTCTTCGACGAGGCCATCCACCGACGCTCAGTGATCAAGAGCACAGAGCGGTCACCAGCAATAGCCCCTTGCGTCTCGAATGAGCACCTTCTCACTGCCATCGGCCGGTGGGGTGGTATCTCTCTTGAACGGTCGTGGTCGCCGTGGCTCTTCGTCTGAAAGCGAAGGACCCCTGACTCTGTCGGCCACGGGCGGCCGGCCCCTGGGTTCCGCGTTCGAGGGTGCATCGCAGCATGCCTCTTCGACCGACTCCTTCACCCGGTCCAGTGGCCGGCGATCTTCCTCTTCTGCTTCGAGCTCTCCCGCCACCTCCATCGAGCCTGCCTTAGACGGCGGTAACCGATCTGGCACGCGGAAGAACGGCTCCGACATAAGCAACTCGACCCGCCTCCCCCGCATCGACATGTCGGACAGGCGTACGTCGATGAGCGGACCACGCACTACGTTTTCCTCGACTGAGCACTTCAACGCGTCGCCGCTGCCCATGAGCGGTCGCCCTGGCGATACGATGGCGCCCTCGATGTCTGGCGTCTTTCCTCCGGGCCAGTGGGATCGCTCTGGCGGCTTCGCCAACCCGCCCCCCATGGATCCCTCCGACTATGGCCGACGACCATCGAGCGCGGCGGATATGGGGTCCAGAGGTTACCCGACGCCGGGTGCCAGCTCGGGCTACGACACCAACGGCCAGGCCCACGCCGCCGGCGCCTCGGCTCCGGCACGGAAGGGTGGCAAAGAGGGTGGATCGGGCGCCATCACCATCGGCGGCAAGAAGAGATACCCCTGCCAGCATCCCGGATGCGACAAGACTTTCTCCACCAGCGGCCACGCTGCCCGGCACAACCGGATCCACACTGGTAAGTCAGAGGCTCTCTCTACGCCGCTGAATGCCCGGCTTTGTCGCGTGGGCGTGCTTCGGATTCTCACCATTACCGACTGACACCGCCTCCTGACGCACTCGCGCCCAACAGGTCAAAAGCCGTACCGCTGCACGTTCCCCGGTTGCAAGGCGCGCTTCTCCCGACAGGACAACAGCCTGCAGCACTACCGCACACACATCCTGCATCCCAAGGGGCGATCGTCGCAGTCTTCGCAGGCTCGGGAGGCATCCGGTCAGTACGAGCTCGACGGCATGGAGGTCGAAGGCCTCGACGCCGAAGCAGAGGCCAAGGCTGAGCTCGGCCGGCGCGCGCTCGAGGACGGCACTGCCATCGCCGTGGTGCACGAGGTCAAGGACCAGCACGGGCGCAAGAAGGGCGAGACGATCGAGCGGATGGTCGGCATGCCCCGCGGTCGTCGAGACTCGCTGCACTCGACGGCGCTGGAAGATGAACGGAGCACCTCGCCGTCCTCGGTCGGCAGCGCGCGCATCGAACGGCAGGCAAGCCTACCCGGCATCGCTCACGTGGAGCCTCCGCACTACGACGGCCCCAGCGACTTTTGGTCCTCGAGCGCCGTGCGCCACCACCGGCTGTCGCTCCCGCATCCCCACGGCGGCGTCGTGCCCCCGGAACCGTATTCGCGACCTGGACAGCCCATGGCGATGAGCGTTGCCCCCGGCCTCGCTCCTGCCTGGTCCGGAGGCAGCTCGGTCTTTGACCCGCGCCTGGAGATGTCGTCGCCGCAGTTGAGCCAGTCGACTGCGTCGGCATCCCGGCGCGAGAGCATCGACCCGGCCCTGCGTACGCTGCCCGGCTTGCCGGACGGGGATCTCCGACTCGATGCGGCCAGCCTGCGGAGTGCCAACCTCAGCATGCCTCAGCCGTATGGCCGAGCGAACGGCTTCAGCGGAGCGAGCCCCCGCTTTGAGCAGGATCCCGCCGATTTCCACCGCAGGAGCCTGTCGATGGGCACGAGCCACGACCGCGGTGGCGCGATGCCCGCGCAGCTTCGCTCCTCGGGAGCGCCCTACCCGATTTCGGCGCCCGGCTCCAACATGCCTTCTGCCCGTGCCTCCCAGAGCCCCAAGTCGAGCCCGACGTCGAGCAGCAACTCGGGGCCCGACTCGGCCGCGGCGCGGTCTCTATCGGTGCTGGACAAGCTGGCGAGTGCCAACACATCGTCGACCAGCCTTCCGGCCGCTCTGTCGTCCTTGACGGCACGATCGCGCCTGCTCACTGGCGCGGCCGGCTCCGCGGGTCCCGGCTACCAGCATCCCTACTCGTCGGATCGCTCGACCAACCTAGACGCATCGAGCTGCCGGGACGACCCGCTCTCATCGATTCCGAGCGGCAATCTCACACTGCCCCTGCTCCACAGCAGCAGGAGCCCGCTGACGGGCACGATCAAGGCCAACGACGATCGCGAGCTGTCCACGATTGACGCGGATCGGATGGCGACTCAGCCTCATAATTCTGCGCTGCGCTCCGGCGCATCACAGGACAAGATTACCCTGCCACCGCTCAACCCTCCGGGCTCTGGCGGTCGACGGTGGTAAAAGGGGAACAAACCCCCCCTTCGCAAAAGGCGGGCATGGGAGGCCCGTTGTTCCTCTCTCGACTGGGCCTCCGTTCTTCGTGTATTATCCGCTCGCGCCTCTTTCTCTCCCCTGCCTTCGTTCTGCGCCGTGCGTGGCGCGCTTGTCATGGCGAACCTACCTCTTGATGTCGGTCCCCGTTGACGGGACCCGACAGCGTCCTCGCGAAGGATGCTTGACATCTCGACTCCTCGCCGATCTACGTATCGCATCGCAACCTCCGTCCTCCCTCCCCCCCTTTCGCCCCTTCTTTTGGTTTCTCTCTCTTGACCCGCCCCGCCCTTTCCCCTCGACTTTCAAAGCGGCCGCTCGTCCCCCTCTAACGGTGCGAGTTGGCGCGCACGAAAACCCGTCACGGCCCTACCTCGCTCTTCTCTTCGACGCGCCTCCTGTCCGTCCCTCTTTTCTCCAGTGTCGAAAGCATCGCAGCCTCGTTGCAGCAAAGACCCACGCACCCCTGCCATCGCCGCTGTTGTCCTTCTGTTGTTGTATCCATCTCCGACGCCCTCACCCCCCACGCCAGTTTCGAAATGTTTGCAACGGAGTCGGTCAACCTCGGATGCGTGGCAGAGAATGACCAGAGTGGCGTGGTCGAATGCAGGTGACGAGTCGGAGCGCGGTGTGCGGCGGTGAGCTTTGCTGGGCTGCTCTGGAGAGACAAGGCAGGACGAGCGAGCATCGGCGTCGGAGCATTCTCTCGCCTGCGTTGCCGCCGGCCCGGCGATGCGATCAGGGGGGGCTCACACCTCGACTGCACCGAGCAGGAACGGCACAAAGGAAGTATGTATGTAGTTACGTACAAGCTGAGCTATCCGGGGCTGCCAGCTGCAGATGCCCCGCTGGCCTTGAAACCGCCACCACTGCGGAACCCCGGAACTTGCCGGTCCGATTTCATATCTTGAGTTGACCGACAGCGGCGCTCCGCGTCTCGTCGGGGTTCCTTGCGGGCCCAGACCTGCCATCGCGTCTTTCGACGAAGGCCGGGGTGGGCACGACTCAGGTCCCCGTCCATGGACGGGTACAGTGTCTGTCAATTAAAGAAGCTTGTGTACGTCGCCAGTCTGAAGACGGCCTGCTCGCTGTCGGGACGGCTTCTTCGCACCCGCCTGTTGCAACCTGTACTTTTCTCGGCGCGGTGATGCTCCAAACGAGCGAAGCTGCTCGGGTGGTGCGATCTAGGTCCGGCTGGGGGCTGCGGAGGGCGAAGCCGTCTTCGGAGCCCCTCGTCTCCGCACTGCTTCCTTCCGCCCCTCTCCAGCCCCGCTGTCGTCTGAGTGCGAGTACCGGGATCAGCTGGAGCGTGAGAAGGAGCAGGGTGGTGGGCTGCACTTACACTCTCAGATCGGCGTCTCCGAAACAGATCATCCTCGGACCGCAGCATGCCGCCCGAGTGCCTCAGGCATGTAAACAAGCTAGGCAGCAGGCAGCTGGACAGGCCGCGCTAACGGCTGGCAGGGCGCTGGCCAACTTAGAACGTTTCGAGGCCCTCGCCTGCGACGCCAGGGCTCGGCTTTCGCATGGCAGGCGACAGACGGCTGGCTCCCTGTAGGATCGGGCCGCCCCCGTTCAGACATCAACTTGCTACCTCGTGCTTTTGCGCACATCTTGGCGTGATGTAAGAGTGGTCGCACGGCGTCGACGCTCGGCGCCGTGCAGCGCTGCATCCCGTAGTCACCGTGTGACGACCTTGGCCGCGACACGTCAGCGCCAAGGTCAGAGGGGGCCGGGCCAGGGCGCTTGGCGTTTTGCAATACGAGCGGAGCGGGCGGATGGGCGACCGGGCCAAGCGCCTTTGCGCCATCGCCTGACGAGGCGACCGTCTGCCTCTGCGCGTCTGACGAGCCTGATCGGCGTTGGAGATGAGCGCACAGCCTCGTCGGCTCGATTCCGTACGGAGGGTCTGGAAGTTGGCCAGAGCCGGCTCGCTCCTGATCGCGAGGATCCTTTGCCTTTGCCTCCCTCGTCTGAGGGCGGGGATGGCTGCCGACTGCCGGCTGCCGTAAGGCGGATACGTCAGGCACCAAGCACGCAGCGAGAGCGACGAGCAGACAGCACATGCCGTCGCTGTGCCCGTTCGTTCGCCTCTCTTTTTCTCTTCTCTGCCGCCTGCCGCCTGCTCTATCTCTGGAGCAAGCAAGCAAGCAAGCTCGTTCCGCAGAAGATCGACCGAGGGGCAGGACAGGGTGCAGCAAACTCGCACCCGGCGCTGCCAGTCCGTTCGGCCTCGACGCAGGCGTGTCTTTCATGCCCCTGGCCTCTTTGCCCTGCCATCGTCCCCGAGGCTGCAGCTTCCGTACCCAAGGAACCGCGCGCTCCGTACGTTGGCCCCTTCTTCTCAAACCCCGGGCCGCCTCTCCTGTTGTCAAGGCCTGGCGGGGCTTCTGATACAGTACGGTGGCAGCTCGCAGCACCGGTCCTCAGAGTATGTACTGTACAGTAGTGTACATATGTACATGGCTGTGCGCCTGTTCGACAATGGTTGGTTCGTTCTACATGGCAATGGCAATGGCATGGCACGGCATGGCATGCATGATGTACTAACCTGTTGGCCGGTGCCGCCGCGCCGTGCCGTGACGGGCGCCGACGTCGCGGCACGTACGGCTGGCGGCGTAGCTCGACTGACTGAACCCGCCAAGGGCCAAGATAGCGCCCCGCCGAAGCCCAAGAGGCCATCGACCGTACGTGCCTTGCTCTGATGTCTTCCTCTCGGGTCTGCCCTGCTTCTGGATCAACACGTACGCTCGGCATCGTCCGTCCAGCTGCCGTACTCGAACCGTACTGGGCACAAGCCCGCTCCTCCTTCGGTCCTCGTCCTGGGATCGCCCTTTCTCTCCTTTATCCCGCGATCCTGTCTCTGTCCCCCTCACTATCACACCTTCGTTTGCCTCCCGCCCGGTCCGTTTACCGTATAATACCTTCCTTTGCGCCCGGTCCTTGCCCGCTACCGCCTCTTCCTTTTCGTCTCCTTTCGATCCAAGACCAACCGGCATCGACACTGCGCATCGACGAACCTGCGTGCCCCCCTAGTTCCACCTAGACTTGCCACCGCCTCGACACCACAGCATGAGACTCGCCTGCACGCTCCTCGGCGGGCTGGCAGCCACGGCTCTCGCCGCTGCCTCGCCCAGCAGTGCTCACCCATCAGCGCCTCTCGGACGGCCTGTCCATCTCGAACGACGTCAGGACCAGCAGCAGCAGCCCGCTTCTCAGGCGCAGCAGGAGGCCCTCTACCAGCAGGCCATGACCGATCCCGTCGGCGCCGCCAAGGTCGCCCGGGCGCTCCCATTCATTGCCGGACAATTCGCTACCGGTGACCTGTACAAGTACAACGTCGCCGGAGACGGTCAGCTGCCCTGGAACTCTGGCGTCTACTATCAGCCCGAGGCCACCGTGAACGGCAGCGTTGATGGCGGCTGGCAGGCTCTTCCCGAGATCCCAGACTTCCAGCTCAACAGGACATGGACCGTCAAGGACGGTGCCATCATGGTGAGCGCGGCCGCCAGATAGACATGCACTTGCGCCCAGGATAACCTCGAGCTGACAGACGACTTGGACCACGCCTCCCCTGCATCCACGCGCCCGCATCGCAGCCCTTCTACCAGACGGCCAACTACGACCCGAAGCAGATCAAGCGGGCGGTCCTCGTGATGCCTGGCAAGCCGCGGGACTGCTGGAAGTACACGTCCATGATGCAAAACGCCCTCAGCGTCGAGGCGGCCAACTCGACCTCTGGCGTCACCAACTCGTCGGTCCTCATCCTCGGCCCGTGCTGGATGAACAGCGACGACCAAAAGGCGGGTGCCGTGCAGCCCAACGAGCTCTACTGGTACGGGTCCCAGTGGCAGCGCGGCGAGCTCTCTCGTGGTCCCGGCAGCGCCTCGATCTCGACGTACCGGGTGCTCGACGGCTTCCTCGACATGCTGTTTGACAAGGACCAGTTCCCCGCCCTCAACCGCGTGGTGCTGGCGGGCCACAGCATGGGCGCCCAGATGGTGCAGCGGTACGCGATGCTCAAGAAGTCGAGGCCGTACGACGCCAACGTGGCCTACTGGGTCGGCAACCCGGGCAGCTACGCCTGGCCGAGCTCGGAGCGGACCTACGCCAACAGCAGCTGCGCCGACGTCGACACCTGGCCGTACGGCGTCGGTGGCGACACCAAGCAGCTGCCCGCTTACGCGCGCTCTGACGTCGAGGCTAACAAGGACGCCGTGGTGGCCACCTACCGCAGCCGACACGTGCACTATAGCTTGGGACTGCTAGACAATGGTCAGGGCGACACATCGTGCCAGGCGGCGACGCAGGGCGCCAACCACCTGGAACGGGGCTGCGACATTGTCACGACGCTGGGCGACATGGCAGGCGGCTTTCCGAGCAACCACACGCTCAACCTGATGCCCAACGTCTCGCACCAGGACTACGAGATGATGTCGTACAACATCTCGCTCTACCGGCTGTTTGCCGATGGGCTCGATACGCAGGAGGGGTACACTGCTGCGGCCAAGGGAGCCGGCTCGAGGAGCACGGGGGCCGGTGGCAAGGGCGGCAGCTCTTCGGCCGCCGCTGCCGCCAGAATGGATGTTGCCTCGCTGCAGGCCGGCCTGGCCCTGGGAGCCGGGCTGGCGGCCGTCGCCGGCGTCCTGACGGCGCTTTGACGAGGCGCCCTGTAATCCACCCATAGATGCGATGCGCTTGTTGCGATGGTGGCGAGATGCTCTCCAGCCCCAGCGCGACACTACAAGCACGGACACTCGACTCGGTATCCTCTCTCTTTCTCTCTCTCTCTCTCTCTCTCTCTCTCTCTCTCCTCTTATTCGCATCCTGGACCTTTGGTTCTGCGGCCGCCAAAGGGCTACGCCGCCCTGGTCGGGTCGGCGTGACACTCTATGTATTCTGAGCCGCCAAACCACCTAGCTGTATCATTCCTGGCTGAGAGAAACGCGCGACGATGTCGTACAGCGGGCTCGGGATGACCTCGACGCCCAAGTGCGAGCGGGGAGGCCTGGACGAGGAGGAGAGGGGCAAGGCGAGGCGATGCGATGCGAGACTGCGGTACCTAAGCGTACAGCCGCCGCTTGGATTTGAATAATGCCGAGCGAGATGGGGGGGCCCGGCCGCTTGCCTGGCCTGGCCTCGCCCTGCCGCTGCTTGCTTTGGGCCCACCGGCAACTCCGCTGGTCGTTTGGTCCGCCTTTCTCCACACGCGGCGGCTAGGCGAGCCAGGCAGACAGACAGCCAGCCAGCCAGCCAGCCAGCCAGCCAAAGCCCAGAGGCCAGGCCAGACCAGGCCAGCCCCGGCCTGCCCCCGCACCCCGCACTCTGAGCCGCACCACCGGCTTCATCGAGGCCTGGCCAATGCCGAGGGCGCGCATCTCGCCGGCCAGAGAGAGAGCCATGGCAGATGGCCTTCTCTCTCCCCCCGCCCTCTCACCTCTTCTATCGTCATCCACCACCCTCCCTGCTCCAGCTCATCTCTTGCGACTTGCCATCGCTTACTGCAGCATCCCCATCCCCAGCCCTCGCTCGCCCTCACTCCCTGAAACCACCCTCTGCACCGCACCGCCCCACGATGCCCAAGCCCGGTCCCGCCTCGAGGAGCTCCATCCTCAACCTCATGCGCATGTCGCACGCCGCCGGTTGCCCGTGCCACGGCTGCTCCACCGCCAGGGGCGGCCTCAACATGGCGCGCGCCGGCCTCAACATGATCTCAAAGCACGGTCAGCAGTCGGGCGCAACCGCCCGCGGATACGCCACCCCCGTCGACGACGCCCTCCAGAAGGAGTACGCATTTGAGCTCGCCGCCAGCAACGTCCGCTTCGGCGAGGGCGTCACAAAGGAGGTCGGAATGGACTTTGCCAACATGAAGGCCCAAAAGGTCGGCGTCTTCACAGACTCGACCGTCCGCAACCTCACCCCCATGAAGCAGGCCATCCAGGGCCTCGACAACGCCGGCGTCAAGTTCGAGATCTTTGACCGCGTCCGCGTAGAGCCAAACGAGGAGAGCTGGCAGGACGCCATCAAGTTTGCTCGCGCCCAGAACTTTAGCCACTTCCTCGCCGTCGGCGGCGGCTCCGTCATGGACACCTGCAAGGTCGCCAACCTCTTCAGCTGCTACCCCGAGGCCGACCTGCTCGAGTTTGTCAACGCACCCATCGGCAAGGGAACGCCCATCGACAAGGTCCTCAAGCCCCTCCTCGCCATCCCCACCACCGCAGGAACCGGCTCCGAGACGACGGGCACCGCCATCTTTGACCACACCGCCACCGAGTCAAAGACGGGCATCGCCAGCCGCGCACTCCGTCCCCTCCTGGGCATCGTCGACCCGCTCAACACCGAAACCTGCCCCACGGCCGTCCACATCAGCGCCGGCCTCGACGTCCTCTTCCACGCCCTCGAGTCCTACACGGCCATCCCCTATACCGAGAGGATGCCCCGCCCGCAGAACCCGCTTCAGAGGCCCGCCTACCAGGGACGCAACCCCATCTCGGACGTCTTCTCGCTGTGGGCGCTCAAGCAGACGGTCAAGTATCTGCCCCGCGTCGCCCGTGACCGCACCGACACCGAGGCGCGCGGCCAGATGCTCCTCGCCGCCACCTTCGCCGGCATCGGCTTCGGCAACGCCGGCGTCCACCTCTGCCACGGCATGTCGTACCCCATCAGCGGCCTCAACAAGAAGTTTGCAAAGTACAAGCACGACGGCTACGAGGTCGACCACCCCATTGTCCCGCATGGCGTCTCGGTGGCGCTGACGGGTCCGGCCGTGTTTGAGTTCACCGCGCCCAGTGCACCGGACCGCCACCGGGAGGTGGCGGCCATCTTCAAGGGCTACGACAGCGTCAGCGAGGCGTCCGATATTGCACGCCTGCCCGACAGCGAGGTGGGCCAGCTCGTCTACGACCGCATCGCAGAGTTCCTGGCCGACCTCGGCGTGCCGCGCGGCCTTAGCAAGCTGGGATACGCGCACGAGCACAGTGAGTCGTCGCAAGGATGAGCAGCAGCCGTCTTTCGATTCTGCCGTGCACATAGAAGCTGACAAAACGGCGATTACCCTTCCTTGGCCTTGTTCTTGCATCACAGTCGAGCCGCTGGTCAAGGGCACCATTCCCCAGCGCCGCGTCCTCGACCTCGCTCCGGGCATCGGAGACGTGATGGGCGCCGACGGCCACGAGCACCTCGCCAGGATCCTCGAGAAGTCGAGTGAGTTGCTCAAGGTTCCGCTGTTTGCTCCGGCGGCCGCTACATGTCGAGCCCTCTCGCTGACGTTGCCCTCGTCCCTCCCTGCTGCGCATGTTTGCGAATGTGCTGACAGTGGCGTACTAAGCTTTCGATCGCGACACGCCCCGGTAGGGACCACACAGAGACGTCGCAATGAAAAGAGCTTGATAAAGTAGCCGGCGGGTGCGTGTGTGGCCCCGCGATCCGGATCGAGAGCATCCAACGAAGGTGGGCACCTGGTGGTAACGTGTTGGCCTCTTGGTCGCTGCTGCCCGACATGAACGCGAGAGTGGCGAGGCGAGCAGAGCAGCCTGGCCTGGCCTGGCGGTGGTCTGAGCGCGTTCAGAGGCGGAAGTCGGGAAATGGCTGGACCGGCAACTTGCTCGGCGAAAACCCCGCGCGCTGGCTCGGCCTGCCTGGCCAGCCAGGACCGACGCATGGACCCTGAGGGCCCGCTGTGCTCTGCTTGATTAATTCGGATTTCCTGACGAGCGGAACAAAGCCTCCCGAAGATGCCGCCGTGGGCCGAAGGCCAATGGCTCGTGCAGGCCCTCCTCTTTCCCCCCTCTTTCTCTGCCTCGCACCCCATTTCCTCGAGGCATGCCAGCTGCCACCTACATTACCACCACCACCACCGTCACCATCATCTCTCGCCCTGTTTTGAACGCTCGCCCTCTTTGAACCGACCCGCTAGCCACCATGACAGCCACGCAGGACCAGCTCAACGTCGACTTTGTGCGATCCCACTTCCCCGCCATCGTCAACAACCCCGAGTACAGTGAGTCTCGGCCCCTCAGTCTCGCCTTCCTCATCACGCCCCACCGTACACTGACAGCCGCGCACGATGCACACACACACACACACGCAGTCTTCTCTGAGAATGCCGGAGGGTCGCAGGTGCTCGCGTCCGTCGTGTCGCGCCTCTCGTCGTACCTGCTCGAGAGCAACGTGCAGATGGCCGCCTACCCGCTCGCACACACCGCCGCCGCCAAGGTCGAGCGCGGCACGTACGCCGCTGCTTTCCTCGTCGGCGCCGACTCGAAGGACGAGGTGCTCCTCGGTCAGTGAGTGCAGCCCCTGCGCCCTGGTTCCCTCCCTCCCTGATCGGTGTATCGCCAAGAGGCTGCTCTGACCCCGTTTCGAGTCCCGCGATGCGATGCCATTCATTTCGCCTCGACAGGAGCGCCACGCAGATCGCCGAAAACATGGCTCGAATGATTGAGAGGACCCTCGAGAAGCGCCGCGAGGGCGAGCCTGGAGAGACGTGGAATGAGGGCGACGAGATCATCGTCTCCCAGTCGGACCACGAGAGTGAGTGTCGCGCAGCAAGGAGGCAAGGGAGCAGGAGCCTACCTTGACGGCGAGGGTCTGAAGGCTCGGCTCCGCTGAACCCGTTTGCCTTGCCTGTCTTGACTTGATCGCCCCCTCGCCCTCGACGCCCGCCAGCCAACATCGGCGCCTGGGCTCGTCTGGCAGCCCGCAACAAGCTGACGCTCAAGGTGTGGCCCGTGACGCCGCTGCCCTCCTCGCAGGGCGGTTCCGATTCGAACCCATACGCCGTCGGCCTGGACCCGGCGGTCCTCTCGACGCTCCTCACGCCGCGCACCCGCCTGGTGGCCTTCACCGGCTGTTCCAATGTGCTGGGCACTTTTACGCCGATCCGCGAGATTACGTCGCTCGTCGCGTCCAAGACCGGGGGCAAGGCGCTGGTGGCCGTCGACTGCGTGGCCTTTGCGCCGCACAGGCCCATGCGTCCCAAGGAGTGGGGCGTCGACATGGCCATCTTCAGCCTGTACAAGACCTACGGCCCGCACATTGGCATCGGCTACGTGGCGCCGCGCGCCCGCGACCAGTGGTTTGGCAAGCTCAACCACTTTTTCCTCCACGACGCCCAGGGCGCCGGCACGTACCCCTACACGCCGTCGTCGCAGCAGTACGAGCTCATCTACTCGATCACGGCCGTCGCGGACTACCTCGTCTCGCTCGCCGACGCCAACAAGAGGGAAGAGGACTGGACCCAGGTCTACACGTCGCCGCAGCACCGGCAGCTCCTCGACGCGGCGTTTGCAAAGATCGCACGCCACGAGGAGGAGCTGCAGCGCATCCTCGTCGACTTCCTCGTGTCGCAGCACCCGAGGGGCGTGCGCATCGTCGGCTCCGAGAGCCACCGCGCCGAGATCCGCGCACCCACCGTCGCCTTTGTCGTCGTCGACAAAGAGGGAAAGCCGCAGCCGCTGAGCAAACGGGTCCACCAGGCCCTCGTCGAGGACAACAAGGTGCGTCTTTGAGGCGGTGACGGCGGCGGTGGCGGCGCAGCACCCACCAGCATCGACTTGATACCAGCTTGCTGACACCGATCCCTGCTCACCGACCGATTTTGACCCCACCATTGATGACCTGTGCCTCCTGCGGCTGCTCAGCTCGGAGCGCAGCAGGGGCACATGTACGCCTACCGCCTCGTCGAGAAGCTCGGCCTCGACATTCAGGACGGCGTCGTCCGCGTCAGCTTCGTCCACTACAACACGACCGGCGAGGTCGAGCAGTTCTGCGCCGCCCTCGGCAAGGTCCTCGACCGTCTGGTCTAAAAGAGCAGCGGCTGCAAGTCGCGCTCGAGGCGAGCGGGCGAGGACCCGAGATTGTACCATCCCATGACGATTGATCCCTCGAGAAAGCCTCCATGGTAGAGGACGCGGATACGTAGATAGACGCGACTCTGGAGCGCGCCATTCCATCGGCCTCTGGTCGCCTAGGCCTTGGAGGCCACGAGGGGCGAGGTGGCCGCCGACCGGACCAGCGTGTCGCGCAGCAGCGTGACGAGGTTGAGCGCCGCATTGGCCGTCACCTGCAGGCTCCAGAGGCTGACGTTGCGCAGGCGCTTGGTACTCGCGTTTTCCGAAGCGACGTGGTTTGCCAGCGCCTCGTAGATCTGGAGCCGGGCAGCGTGCAAAGGGAGAGGAACAATCAAGAGGCATCGTCAGCTCATTCTGGTGCGAGCCCTGCGTGGCTTGGAACACGCGTGCCACGTACCTTGTCCGAGACGACGGGGAGGAGACCGGTCTGTGCCAGGTCCATGGAGCCGTCGAACTCGCTCTGTGCAGAGATGGGATGCAAGACGCCCAGGTGTCAGCGCTTTGATTCGAGAAGGATCGCGGGACAGGTGTGGCGCCATCACTCACCAGATCGACGACGATCCTGCACCGAACCGGGATCAGCGTCTGTTTGCAACAGCAACAAGCGGGGGCCACGAAGATCGGGTCAGTCGTGCTGTGGATCGTCTCGCAGGACCACGGCGCAGCGGCCTACCTTGTTGGCGTTCATGAATGCCACAATGGGCCGGACAAACGCGTTGGTCTTGTAGCTGAGCTCGTTGGTGAAGAGCGGGACGGCCGCCTTGATGTCCTTGAACCGAACGTCCATGTCGATGACGACCGATGGTGGCGGGATGGCCAGCTTCTGCTCGCGCTTCTCCGTCGTCTCGGCATCTTCTCCCTGCTGGCTCTCGTGGTCGCCCTCGGTCGCAGCGCGGCTCGGCTTGCCCTGCCGCCTGGCTTCCTCGTTTTCCTTCCTCATCCGATCCGCCGTGGGCCCGACGGTCGTCACGGGCGCCTCGATGGCCGGACCGCTCAGCCGATGCTGGCCCGGAATAGGACGGTCCTGCTCCTCTTCGTCTTTGAAGGCTTCGCCGGACACGGCGGCGCTGATGTTGTCGAGGATCTCGGCAATGATCGTGTTGATGTCCATGTCGTCGTTGAAGTCGCGCGGGAACTTGATGTCAGCCACGACTGCGGCACAGGTCGGCGCAGAGACGGAGTGGGCATCGTCGGTCAGGGAGCCGCCCTGCATTTGCTAGGAAAATTTGGACCAGGGAATGGACTCACCATCGAACTTTCCGGAGAGGATCCAGGAGACGGGACCCGTCAGCTCAGACTGGGCCTGGATGTGGTCGAAGCTGACTCCGTCGATGCGCAGTCGCGACTGCCGGCAGCATCAGAGGGCCAAGAAAGATGGGCCAGGATGAGCGAGGCGTTCCGAGCATCAGCGCCGATACGCCGGTTTCCGCATAACTCACCATCGACTTCCACTTGTTGTGGATCATTTCCTTGTCCTTCTCCACTGTGCGCCCGATGCTCTGCGGCTTGTGCAGGCTGAACAGACACCCGTCGATCTGTCCCGTGATCGACTCGGCGCTGAGTAGGTCGTAGAAGAGCCACTGCTTCCTCAGCTTCGGGATGCGCGCGTTGAAGATGCTGAAGTTGAAGGGGCGGAAGTCGTTGGGCTGGTAGATGGTCACGAGGAAGTCCTCGATCAACAGCGACTCGAGCTCAAAGTCGCCATGCCTCGCCTCTCGGCGTGCGGCGCGAGGGTCGTACGGCTTCGCCGGGTCCCAGAATACGTTCCGACGGTCTGCAAGGGCGCGGATGCGTGCTCGGTCTGGCGTCAGCCGAGGGTCAGAGATCAGAGGCGTACGGCTTGATCCGCCTCTCGTACTCACCGACGATGCCTCGGACGCCCTTGACTACGGCGTCCTCGATCAGTCCCTTGCCGTCGAACCACCGCGACAGGCTCAGCGTGACGTCGATCGAGTCCACCTGGAGATCGAACATGCTGAAGTTTGTGTTGACCGTATCGTCCTCGACCAGATCCTCGCCGCGGGCCTCGTCGCTCATGGGCGGCGCAACCTCCTCCTCCTCGTCGTAGTGGGTCCCCTCCCAGGACATGCCATCGCCCGCGGTGATGCCGGTGCGGCGCCTGACCCGCTTGTACGGCAGCTGTCCGCGCAGGGCCTCGTCCCTCATCTTGGCCCGCCTCTCGCGACGCAGGGCTTCGGCATCAGTGTGGGCCCGGCGCGAGATGAAGACGTTTTTGAAGCTGATCCGGCTGTCTTTCCACTTGGGCACGATGGCGCTCTCGAACACCACGGTGACGCCCGTCTCGGCAGTGAGGTAGTCGGCGATCTTCCTCGCAATCCAGCCTGAGACGAGAAGGCAGAAGGAGGGGTTGTGCGACATGGTCAGCCGGGAGAAGATGGCATGGCGGCCAAAACGGGGGCAAGGTGCTCACTCTGCAGGTTGAGCGCATTTAGCGCAGCAAAGATCAGCGAGAAAAAGGTGGTCGTGCCGACGATGACAAAAAAGATGGTGGTGACGCCGCCCAGCGTGAAGAACGCGCTGATGTCGTCGGCATTGAACCGACGGAAACCGCGGATGGTGAACCACTTGAACCGGATGCGCATCCGCGTCCAAAAGCCGTGGGCGATGCGAAGCAGGTCCTCTTTCTGAGGTCTCGTCCACGACGAGGGGTGCTGGCCATGACTGCCCTGCTCATCGCCCGTCTTTGAGCCCTGGCCGGCCGGAACATGCGGGATTGCTCGCATCGCCAGCTCCCGCAGGGACCGCGGATAGTTTTGGAAGTGCTTGTAGGCCCGATCGGTGGTTGTCAGCTCATGATCCTGACCCTCGCCTCGAGCTTCAGCTGGCTCTCTGTCTGCTGGAGGTCGATCTCTTGCTGGTGCGGCCGCTGACCGCGGATCGGAGGACGAGTCGAGCTCCTCTTGGCCTTTCACTACGCCGTCTGTGGCGTCATGCTTTGATTTGTCCGACCTGCCCTCTTCTGCGCTGGTGGAGCTCGAGCTGAAGCAGCGGACGGACGAGGCCGCTGGGCCGACAGCGGTAAGTCCACCATGCCAGCGAATGCCGAGGTGCGAAGCTGCAGATCTTGGCTGGTGCGAGCGTGCTACGCCAGCGAAAAACGACCTAATGAGGCGATACCGTTGCCTGTAGGGTCCAGCGGAAGGATCTGCGTCAGTGGAGACGATCTCGCTTCGGAGAAGGAGAGGTGGACTTACCCTCCGTCTTTGGCCAGAGGCAGCTGAAGGCGTGATCGTTCAGATGCGTCGAGTGAGCTGCCGGGAGAGGAATGAGCCACGAGTCGCTGGGGCGTAGGCGGCGCCGAGGGGATTCGAAGAGAGCTGAGGGGTCTTGAAGAGGGCTGGCGGTGAGGAGAGACTGAGAGAGAGCCCCGCAGGACTGTTGCCCACAGAGCTGGGCGAGCCGGTGCGCGTATTGACATGCTTTGGCGCGACCAGGATTCACGGGGGCGTCTCTACGAGAAGATGGTCATGGTCTTGGCCCGATACCAGAATGTGAGCGAGAAGAGAGGAGGGGCGATATCGCGGTCTTGTCGACTCGAAGAGAGACGGGTTTGGCAGCGGGCACTGCGGTCTCGGACGACTCGGCGGGTCGTTCTGGTAGACAGGAGCTGTGCCGCTGCAAGTTCGTTGTAGGGTCGCGCGAGGTCGAAGAAACAGCAGCCTCAGGGATTGCTGTGTCGACGATGGTGGTGGTTGTGATGGTGAGAACGAGAGCGGAAGGGCGGCGATGAGCGTGGCCGGATAGGGAAAGAGGGAGGAAAGCTCGGATCGGCCACCAGCCGAAGGAAGGGAGGCGAGGGGAGGCGAGAAGCAAGTCGCCATCCAAGCGTCGGTCAGCCAGCCAACGAGGTCGGGGGCCCAAAGCAGACGAGGACCCTGACGCCGCCGGCCTGCCCTCTGTGAGCGCTCCCTGCCTGCGTGCCTGCCTGCGCGCCTGCCCGCGGGTGAGCAAAGCGTGTCTGGAGCCTGCCTCTCTGCTCGGCTCCTCCGCTTTCCAGCGGCCGGCGTGGCCCCGAAGTTTTTTTCTCCACATCGCTCTTTGAGCGCGGGGCCAATCGCAGCAGCTCACGGACCATCCGCAACCTGACCGGCCTCGCAACATCCGAAGCGCGACAGAGGGCCATACCAGTGCGCCTCTTTCTTGCGGACGCTCATCTCTATCATAAACAGTCTCATTGCCCGATCAGACTTCTAGCGTAGACATCATGCACAAACGACAGCAGCGACAGACACGAGAGGGGGCAGGGCACGGGGGGCCAGGCACCAGGGTGAGGGGGGGGGACCAAGAACAGCCGAGGACGAGGCGCCAAGTCCTTGAGAGCGCGTGTCGACAGCGCGACCGTGCTCCTCAAGCTTAGACGGCCTTGGCGACCGCCTTGCTCTTCGAGATGCCCTTGAGCAGCTGTCGCGTCCAGATCTCAAAGTAGTCTCGGAAGAAGAACAGGAGCGCCTGCGCCAGCACCGCCTTGGTGATCTGCGCCTGCATGCCCTGGTACCACCCCTTGATGCCCTTCTCGGCCATGATCTTCTGCAAGCAGTCGATCGCTCCCGTGTAGCGCGTGTTCTTAGCCTGCAGGCGGATCTTGCTCAGAATGTAGGGGAAGCTGTCGAGAGGCGCCGGGCAGTGTCGTAGCAGGCATTCGAGCGCCAGGGTCAGCATCGCGTGGGCCGTCGATCCGAGGGGCCGGGGACCGGGCAAGAATGACTTACGTGACGACCGTTGCGAGCGTCTTGGACAGCGCACCGACCAGAAACGACTTGCCGGGCGTCATCTTGCCATCCACGGACGCCGCCAGGATGATGGTCTTGACCCCTGCGCAACCAACCGGCAAAAGGATAAGCGGGAGGCGGGGGAGTCAGTGGACATCGACCAGGCCGAGCGTCGACCGAACAGCGCGGCTCGAGACTCACTCTCAAAGACGCCGTACGTGATGGCCGGGTTGACGGTCAGCACCAGGCTGGGCTTGAGGCCTCGCCACAGGCCCGTGATGCCGTCCTCCTTGAGGATGTCCTTTGCCACCCCCACGAAGCTCTCGTCGATCGGTGCGCCCTCCTTGCCCGGCTCGTTGGTCGAGCCAATCTGCTGCCGTGTCGCGATCACGCTGATCGGGATGGTGAAGATCTGTGCCAGAGCACCTGCAAGCGCTCCGAGGCACAGCTCCGTCACCGTGTTGAGCGCCGCGACGCCGCCGGCAGCGGTCTTGGTCGCTCGCTTGATGTAAAGCGTGCGGACCACAGTGTACCAGTAGAAGTAGGCGAACTCTGCGGGACGGGATGGTGGCAAGAGTCCGGAGCCGGGAGGTCAGCGTGCCGCCTCTTCCCTTACGATGTTCGCACGCCGTGGGCACTCACGGGTGGTGAAGGTGTTGACCATGCTCGCGCCGAACCCCTTGTAGAGGCCGGAGGGCCCCTCTTTGCTCTTGATGATGTGCAGAATGCCCTTGAGCAGGCCGGCGTTCTTGGGCACGGTGACGAGCGTCTTGGACGGATTCTTGGGGTCCTTGACCTCGACGGCGGCGCTGCTACCCTGGCCCGCCTGGATGCGTGTCTTGACGCTGCAGCGAGGAGTTGAGGACGGGGTTCAGAGGAGAGAGGGCATTGGAAAGCCAGCATCAGCACACCGGTGGACGGCCGCGAAAGCACGAAAAGCCATCGAGAGAGCGACTCACGTGTCAAGTGGGTAGACGACGGCATTGGAGAAGACGCCTGTGTTGACGTCGTGCGACGGTGGACGCGTCGGCCAAAGATGAGCAAGCATACCGAGGTGAGCATAGCGCTTTGGTCAGATCCGAAAATCGCGGCGCCGACCACTCACCGCCGAGCGCGCCGGCGAGGGCGTTGCCGAAGGGGGTCAGAGGCTCTTGTGCCATCTTGCGAGCGATCTGTGTGACTATGCCGAATGGAGGCTGGTTGGGGCGGTCTGGATGGAGCTGTGTGCTAGAGAGAGCTCGGAAAGGTCCCGATGCTGCGCAGTAGCGGAACGGTAGAAGCTGTCTAGAGGGCGCTTGAGTCGAGACAGCGGTTGGCCAGACTGGAGAGGATCGAAGTTGACGTGTCCAGGAGCGGAACCTTCCGAAACAGGGTTAGCGGAGTAGTCTGGTGGTGATGGTGATGGTGGTGGTGGTGGTGTAGGACGAAGGATGACGCTGGACGGCTCCGCAGACAGCCCCACGAAGAGAGAGAGAGAGCGCAACGGACGGCATCCGGCACTCGCCTCGCGAAGGAAGGGCAGGCGGGCGGAGGCCACCGGGCCAAGGCTACAGCCGGCGACCCTGCCTGCCAGGACCCGCCAGGGAAATTCCAGCAGAGGCCAGCAGCAGAGAGGCGGGCGCGGATCGAGCTCGCCTGGTAAAGCCGCCCTGCGGAACGTCCGACCGACTCCTCCGCATCACGCACGGCGTCGACGCCATCTTCGTCGTCGTCGGCAGCAGCAGCAGAGGTAGGGAGCCGCAGGGCACATCCCAAGCAAGCAAGCTTCTTGGTCCTGGCCCGCCTGTTCCACAGAACTCACAAGTGACCCCCGCAGGTGTCGCCCTGCCACTTCCCTTCTGCCCTGCCCGGCCCCGCGTCCATCCGCATCTCTGCATATCATCCACCCCACCACAACGGATCGGACCGGTTGGAGCTGCTGCTGGAGTGCCGTGCCAATGGCACAACGACGGCCATCGACCGGCCTGCTCCATCGCCTTGCGACATGATCAGCGCCGAGTCGATGGCGGCAGCATGGGATCGATCAGTCACCCACCTCAGCGTCTCAGACGAAGCGGCCGCACCAGGCTATGTAGGAGGGCAGGCAGCTCCGGCGAGGCTGGCCGTGCGTGCCCGTGCGGTCGGGTCCAACCGACCGAGTGACGCCAACCGGGCCCTCGGCCGCATCCAGTTGCCGTCCGACCGGCCTCGGGTTTGAAAGCGCTTCGAGGCTTCTCTCGGCCGGGTAAGCGGCGCCTCGTACGGGAAGGCGCCTGCCACTACTGTCCACTCCGCGCCGAGCCACTCGCCGTCCCCTCTTCTCCTCGATCTCTTGACAAAGCCAAAGCCGTAGGGCCGGCATCTCTGTTGCGCTGTGGTTGAAGGCTCTATAAAAACAATTGTGTGAGAGGGAAATCTATAGCGACAGTCGTGGGTTGGGGAAAAGATGCAGGCGGGCGAAACCAGAGCAAAGACAGTAGTAGTTGTAGACGGAGCGCGAGGGGGCAAAGAGTGGAGCCAAAGAGGGCCGAGGGGCACAGGGGGGAGGGAGAGAGAGGGAGAGGGCTCGATCCGTGGCAAGTGCGGCTACGAGGGAAAGGAATGCATTGCCGTCGTCTTTGTACGGCGAAAAACCACCTCGCCACTCAGGGGCGATCTTGGGTCTGCGCAGCAGACTGCTCGTGGTGATCGTAATGATGGTGGTACCGGCCGTCATAGTCCTGATGCCCCGAGTACTGCTGCTGTTGCTGATACTGCCCATGTTGCTGCTGGTCGTAATGCTGCTGCTGCTGCTGATGCTGGTCATGGTACTGCTGATCCGCATGCTGGCTGCTGGCGTAGCCGTTCTGGACCTGGTGCGCCCCGCCCTGGTCCCATGCCGCCTGTGCATCCTGCCCTGGTGAGCCGTTCGAGGCGTAGCCATGGGCATGCCAGTCGCCACCCGCAGTCTCCCCGACATAGCCGCTGTTGCGCCTCTCGGGCGTCACTGACTGCGATGGGTTCTGCGAGGTCAAGTAGGCGTCGTAGAGATCCTCGTAGCCGCGCGTGCTCGGATCTGGGCTAGGCGACGCCGAGTTGCCCGCCGAGGCGGCATGTCCACTGTTGTAGTACTGCTGCTGGTGCTGGTGCTGGTACGGCGGCTCCCCCACTGCGTAGGCGCCCGCTTGTGCACCGTGATCGTGCAGCGTGCTGGATGCCGTCTCAAAGGCGAAGGATGGGAGACGGCTGTGGTCCTGGGCACCGCTAGCTCCATTGTGGTCCGCGCCGTTGGAATAAGGCACGTACGACGACAGGTCGGATGGCGCCGGTGGTGGGAACTCGAGGCCTTCGACGCCGTGACTGTCCTTGGGCGGGGGATAGTCGAGACCGCCGTTGGCGTAGGGTCCATCGACCGCTTGGCTCTGGGCCGGCCACTGCGACTCTGGATTGAGCGGGCTCGGCCCGACGTGGTGAGCGCCAAGGTTGGGGCTTCGGAGCAGGCCAGCCTGTGGATCGACCAACGCCCGGGGCTGACCCGGCCCGTGGTTGTACATCTGGCCCTGAGCGCCAGGTTGCGGCGAGAGGCGGCCCTGGCCACCGACGCGCTGGGCGAAGAGCATCGGCGACGTTCCGACCGGACCCATCTGATCGAGGAGCGTCTCCATGCCGCGCACGTGAGCTGCTCCAAACGCGGGGCTGGCGGCGGAGCCGGGGGGCAGGCCGGGCGCGCCCCGCATCGCCTCGCCTCCTGCATGACCCGCGTTCTTGACGAGGTCGGCGGTGCTGCTGTAGTTGCTGCCCATGCCGTAGAAGCGCGAGGCATTCATCGAAGGGCTGCCGTAGCCGTCCTTGTCGGCACCGTGGAAGCCTAGCTGGCTGTGGGCGACGGTGGAGCTGGATCCGCTGTTGGTCCGCTGCAGGCCGATGCCGGGCTTCTCGTTCATCAGGTCGACGTCGACGTTGGGCAGGGTGGGCTGCGGGATGGCGCGGCCCACCATCTCGCCCTTCTTGTTCATCAGGTGCGAGAAGTCGCCGGCGGCCTCCTTCCGGGCGATGGCGGCCTGCTTCATGAGCCGCTGCTTCTTCTTGCGCTTGACCATCTCCGAGATGCGCTTGTCGATCTTGTGGCAGCAGTACTCCTTGAGGTTGCCCTTGATGTAGCAGAGCAGCGGGATGTACATGACGGCGGCGGCGATGAGGAGGATCATCGAGCCGGCAAAGACAGCGACGGTGAAGAGCATGGTGAGGATCATGAGGCCCGTGACCCAGCTGCCCTGGTAGTAGTCGTACGGGTCGGTGCTCCACTTTGCGTGCGAGCCGAGGCCGTAGAGGGTGAAGAAGTTGATGACCTGGCGCGGGCCGTCGGCGACCAGCAGCCGCTTCCAGCCCTTGAACGTGAAGAAGATAAAGAAGGCGAACTCGTCCTTCTTCTTCTTGCTGTTGTTGATCTGGTTGAAGAGGCAGAAGTGGTCGTAGCTGCGGCACGAGTAGTAGTTGTTGGACATGACATTGGTGTAGGCGTAGCTGATGTCGCGGCTCTTGATGATGGCGCGCGACTTGTGCGCCTCGTAGGCGAGCAGCAGGAAGGAGAAGAGGATACAGCCGGTGAAGATCCACTTGCTGTAGGAGATGGGGACGCGGAAGTTGTTGTCCGGGTCGTTCTGGACCAGGTCGTAGAGGTTGCCGTTGGTGCCGTTGAAGTGGCCAAAGGCGAGGAGCGTGATGGCGGTGTAAATGTCGGCGACGTAGACTGCAAACGACTTGACCATCATCAGCCAGAAGAACCCGTACTTTGCACGGGTGAGCCACCCGCGCGCGCGGTACTCCTGGACGTCGATGAAGTCGAACTTGTGGTCGGGCACCTCTTCACGCTTCCAGTCGCTGGAGCCATTGCAGCACATGGTGGCGGCTGGCGGGCCGCGGCGGTGGCCGAGGAGGCGAGTGCCCTACGTCGGTCGCGCCGGTGTGGCTGGCCTGTACCGCTGCGAGCGTGGCGGGGTCGATGGGGCAGTAGGGCGGTCGACTGGAGGGCAGAAGGGGTCTGGTCGAGCTGTCCGAAAGTGAGGGCTGGGATCGAGGCGGCCCCGCAGGGTCGGAGCGACACGGCAGGTGTGCTGTCGAAGCGGAAGAAGCGGGGCGATGAGATGGAGGATGAATCGTCGAGCGACCTGCGCCGACAAAGGGAGATAGGTAGAGAAGTAGAGAGAATGTGTGTGTGCTGGTGTGTGTGTGTGTGCGTGTGTGTGCGTATGCGCGTATGCGTATTGCCGGGAGCCTGTCTGCGAGGTGCACCGTGTACGGGCGTGTCTGGGAGGGAGTGGCTGTTTGTTGCAAGGGGAGAAGAGTGAGGGGCAAGGGGAGCAAGGAGGGCGATGGAGATGGAGGAAGGCAGAAGAGAGGCGGTCGCGATGGACAAAAAGGAGGCCGGTTTGCGACTATGGCGGCGACGCAACACAACACCGCCAGGCCTAGCCTGGTCAGGCCAGCCAAAGGGTGCTGGTGCGGCACACCGAAAATGTGATTTCAGAGAGCAGAGAGGGTGCAGGCGGGCCACCCACCAACCAACACCCGAAATGCGGCCTAGGTTACCTGGGCTTGGCGGGGCAGGCAGGCAGGCAGGCAGGCAGGCAGCCAGCCAGCCAGCCAGCGGACCGGCGAGCAAGCGGGCGGGCGTCCAGAAAAGGGGGGCAGCCAGGCTGGCTCAAGCTTTGCGATCTGCAGCCCCCACGCACCCACGCCGCCCGAGTGTGCCGCTCTAGGACCCTATAACGGGCCTGCCTGCCTGCCTGCCTGCCCTAGCCTACGTTTGCCCTTGACTACGCTACCCTAGCTCTTGGTCGTACGAACAGACACCACAGCGCAGAATGGCGGCTTGCTTGACCGTTGCCCTGTACGTCCGGGGCCAGCGCAAACCACCTGCTGGCGGCCGGGCGGCCGGGCGCTCAATGGTCAGCGGCCGCACCATCACCGCCGCCTTTGGCTTGCCCGCTTGACTACTGTATTCGCTGCTTCGCGGGCTGCGGCTCCCGTCAGCCAGCTAGGGACCGACAGCTAGCGCACGGCGGCGTGTGCAAGCGTCGTGCGCTCGAAGAAGCCGTAGGAAAGGCCGGCTCGATATCGCACCTGGTGGAGCAGGGGCGGGGGACCGCCAAACGAGGCTTGCGTTGCGGGCCGTGCAAGTTGAGGGGGCGACAGCTTGGTGGAACGCGGTGGTCCGTGTGCCGCAGGTTGGCCAGCGAGACCCTTGCCTGACCAGGAGGCCAGGCTGGCCGGCTGGCTGCCTGGCGTCGTGGCAGCGCTGGAATGCGGCAAGACGTTCCCTTCGTCTGGCGGGCAGAACACCTCTCTGCCTAGTTGCCTGCTGGTTGCGACACCGTCTCAGCTCTCTGCTCGTGGCTCTCTCAACCTCGACGACGCCCTCACCCATCCTCGCGCCTCTCTGACGGGCTCGACCCGACACGGCGCGGCTGCCCTGCTCGCCACCCCGCCGACGTGCCAACCCTCCGGATCCCACTCCACTACCAGCTCGTTTTCCTTCCTCGCTCCAGGAGCGGCCGCAACTCGTCTGCCTCTCCACCACCTGCTCACACACCCGCCACTGCGACTCCGACATGCCTCTGCCGAACGAGCGAAAGGCGAGCGGCGTGAGCTCCCTCATCCAGCTCTTCAAGGAAAAGGAGCGCCAGGAGCAGAACGACGCACAAAAGCTCAAGCCTCGCTCCAGCCTCGATCCTCCGCCGATCAGGAGCGCCAGACCCGTCTCGCCAGCCTTCGCCCTGCCATATGGCGTCGCTCCCGAGGTAGCGGCGCCAACAGAGCGAGTAGATGCTGCGGGACCCGCCAGTAGTGACGTGACCAAGCCACCCTCGGAAGCTGAAGCCGTCTCTGCGGCGAGCCAAAAAGTCGTGGAGGCCAAAGACGCCAGGACGGAAGCCAGAGCTGAGCAAAGCGCGGACGACGGGAGCAGCCCCGTCCCGCCGAATGGGCCTGCTACCTCGCTCACCGAAGGCGTCGAAGGTGAGCCAGGCCCCCCGTCCACTGCCTCGCGAGAGACTGCAACGGCCGAGGAGCCGACCGAGCTCAAGCTCGAAACAGGACATGCACGCGAGCAGGAAAAGTCTGCTGGCAGCGGCATACAGGCAGCCAAGCCGACCAACTCGACCAAGCCTGAGGCTACGGATCTTGCGGGCAGAGCCGCCAAGCAGCCGCCGGAGGCCAAGACACCTTCCCGTCGTGGCGGCTTCATGGCTCCCACTGCCAGCTCAGCAGCTCGAGCAGCGAGCAACACCCCGGCCCGCAAGTCGTCCGACTCGCCGAGGAAGGCCCCCACACCGTCCAGCAAGGCAAGGATATCCACGGATCGCACTGCGAGCCCGGCAACGTCACCGCTGGCCGCAAAAGCCAGCCTGGATCGGAGACAGCAAGCCGTCGTGTCCCCGAGCCCCAGCAGAGCCAAGGTCACGAAGTCGATGGTGTCCAAACCGGCCGCGGCTGGCGACAGGTCAAGGAAGCAAAGTTTGGCAGGCTCCGGTCCTCGTCAGGCCCCGCCTGCTCCTCGGCGATCCCAGGATCATCACCGGACGGAAGAGGCACCTATAGCCAGGATCACCCTGGCCAGCAAGGCGATTTCCACCGTAGCTACGGAGCCGTCCGACGACGCGAGCGGCCGCGCGGACAATACAGTGCGGCCCGTTGGCCGCAATGGAGCGAGTCCCACGACGGACGACCCTCGTCGGGCGGCTGAAGTTGAACCGAGCGAGTCTGGACGTAGCGGGATGACTTTTGGAGAGGAGGACTCGACGAGCATCGGCACCAGAGACGAGATGGCCAGCTCCCGCGCCACCAGTGCCTCGGGCGAGAGCGAGCATGGACGAGGCGAGAAGCCCGACGACGGCCCGATGACTGCCAAGCTGTCGCAGGATGGGTTCCAGCTGCCGGGCGAGGCCACGGCAGTCATATGAAAGGGCAGCTCGAGCGGCGACGGCACCCAGCATCGACATCGCTGTGCCATGTCCAATGAACACAGCCACCGCCGCGGTGGCATGCATATGACCGGCCGCCGCGCAAATGTATTCTACTCTCAAGCACCGCAAAGCCGCTCACGGGCTGGCACGAGATATCCAGCCTCCATCCCGACGGGATGTCCCTGGCAAGAGTCGGGGGATGTGGTGGCGCCGATAGCCGCCGTCTGCTCCTCTTGCGATAGGGGCCGAGAGCAGGACCAGGGGATGGCACCTGGCAAGGGAAGACTCAATCCCCGCCGCTTGTTTGCTTGCTCGCGCGCACGTTTCCCACCTCCGCCGCCGCTTGCCTCGGTCTAGGCCTGATGCTTGCCGAAACAGCCGCCGGCCTCGCCGTCGTTGCCGCCGCCATACATGTCGGCTGCCGCAGTCGGAAGCCTTTCTTGCTTGACCACCGCTCAGCTGCTGCTTCGGCATCGGTTTCGGCATCCTCCTCTGCGCCGCCGGCCGGTTCGCGACGACGTACATACATACACCTACATCGAGCCGTGAATTTGATGATGAATTTGCCCTGAGGGCCGGGTTGCCTGGGCAGGCCTCGGGTCGCTCGCTCGCTGGCTGGCCAAGAACGTGGCGGAATACCTGCTGGCCTGCGGTGGCCAGGGCCAGCCGGCTCGGGTTTTGATTGTCGCGCGTCGAGCCAAAGGAGGCAGGTGGAGGAGGCCTGGCCTGGCCTCGACTGGCCGCTGACACGAGGTGTGGATGCCTCGCACCCTGGTCCCCCGCTCTGACGGACTAGTCGCGAGCCGTATGACGCTGTCGCCCGCCTCTGCGTCACAGCCATGACCGATGATGTGTTGGTGTGTCGTACAGTGGGCACCGCTTCCCTCCCTTCCAGCCAAGACGGGATGAAACCATGGTCATGGCGACGGGGTCAGGGACGTAGACTCGTTGCGCTGCCTGGCCTGGCGCTGCGCAGATGCCGACATGAGGAGAGGTCCGAAGCGTGTGCAAGCCAAGCCTGCCTGGCCGGGAAGCTGCCGGCACGCTGCCCTCGCCCTGACAACCGCAGGCAGGCAGCAGGAAGAAGGCGCTCCGAGGCTCTGTCCCTGGCAACGGGCGGCGGCTTTCCCCGCATGGCAACCGCCCGGCCTGCCCGCCTGCACGCACGCACCCAAGCCTAGCCCTTGTGTCCGTCGAGGGCGGCCGGCACCAAAATAGCCATCAAAATTGCCGTCGAGCTCCCCTCGATGACACTCTCGATGCTTCGCTCTACGTCCTTCTTGTTCTTCTTGTTGCACCACCACCACCACCCCGCACCGACCAGGCTCCTACGACCCTTCGCTATCCAAGCCTTGGATCACCCTCATAGCTGGAAGACTGGAGCTCCCCGGAACCGGATACCACCGACGTAGCGCCGGGCCACCTTCGGCTTCTCCGCCTCGAGGCGCCCGCCCAAACCTTGTCGGCCCAAGGTGCAACTCCCGCGGCGGGTTAAAACGCACCGCCTTCGGATCTTCCGCCTCGGCACCTCCCCGACTCATTGACCCCGGCGCCTCCAGGTGCGGCCGCTCCGTGCGATGGGTGAGCGCAGCAACAACGGCGCCTTCAACCTGCGCAACGTGGCGCGCTCGCTCTCGCTCAAGCGCAAGGGCAACACGTCGACGCAGGGCAGCAACGGTCGCTATGCGCTGCCGACCGACATCCCCGCCCCGCCGCGTGAAGTAACGCGGCAGCCATCGCTGCCCGAGAGAGTCCCCGAGAGAGTGCCCGAGAGGGAGTCGCTGGCCTCGCTGGGCTACTCGAGCCTCAACTACGTGCCGCCGCCAGACTCCAGGCCCAAGCGCAACGCCTCGACCAAGCACCGGCGGGCACAGCAGAGCTACGACCTGCTCGGAAGCCACGGAAGCGGCAACGGGGCGCACAGCAGGGGCCCGCAGCTGCCTTTGAGAGCATCTCGCAGCGACGAGTCGCTCGTCATTGACTCGGCCGTCCCGCCCAAGCTGCAGTCAACGGCGCGCGGCGCCCCCTCCGGTCCTCCGCCCTACGGGTCGCCCCCGCCCATGACATCGCCCTACCTCGTCAAGAGCCCCCAAGCGCCCGCGGCCGAGGCCGCCTCTTCGACCGGAGACGACCCGCTGCAGAACATCAAGGACCACATGCGTGCCAATGCCGACCTCATCGGCAATGGGCCGTTTTACTCGGTGCAGCGCGGCTGGAAGAAGGGCATCTACATGAGCCGGGCCGAGGCCGACAGGCAGATACGCAACGTGAGTACCGCAGTCACGCTCGGCGGCTCGGCAATGCGACAAAGGCTGCGACACCTCCGGCAAGGGCTCCCCTCGAGCATCCCGCTCCGAATTCTGAAACCCCCACTGACACCACGTATCCTTCGCTATCGCCCCTCTGCAGTTCCCCGGGCCCGTCATCAAGACGTTTGAGAACCTCGACGAAGCCATCGCGTTCCTCAAACCGGATGCTGCGGTGCTGGAGACTCCGGACGAGGACCAGGACGAGGAGGTGCTCGAGCGGGCGAGGATCTTTTCCGACCTCGCAAGCTCGGGCCAGGTCGAGCTCAAGAGGGCCATATCGCTGTCGTCGGAGAGGAAGGCGGCACGCCTCAGGGCCAACAGGGCGCAGAAGGACAGCCTCGACTCTGCCAACGGCTCGGCCACAGCGTCGGCCGCCGCGGCCACTTCTCTCGGGCTTTCCGCAGGACCTTGGGCCACGTCGCGGACCATCCTGAAGCAGGGCGCGCACAGCCCGTTTGAGGACCCCGTCTCGAACCCTCTCGACAAGGCATTACCGGTGCCAGCCGAGCCCCTCTGCGGCCCTTCCCGGCTGGTCACGCTCCTGCCCGTCCGTAACCTGGAGGCTTCCAAGAGCTTCTACACCACCGTCCTTGGCATGACGTGCTCCTCGCAGCACGAGGGCGTGCAGGCCATCCTGACTTCGTCGACCGGTGCCTCGTTCTGCCTGCGCAGCCTGGATGTGGCGCCACCGATGCCATCAGGGAGCGGGCTCGCCAGGAGCAGCAGCATTGGCCGCTCGAACTCGTCCAATGGCCGCTCCGGTCGCCCGATGTTGCCCCCGATGAACGAAGACGGAGAGGCGCCGGTATCGTCAGGATCAGGGCCCGACAGCCCATCACGGAACGACTTGAGGCCGTCGAGGTCGCCCGTGCCGCCACCCCCGCCGCCGCGCAGCGCCACTGTGACCATGTCTGGAATCACGACTCTGGTCGAATACCCGAAACCCCTCGACGCTTTGCACAGCCTCGTATCGCAGAGGATCAACGGCTGGACGCAGCACGACGCCCGTCAGTTCGGAGACCTTCGCTTCGGATCAAGGAGGACGGAGGGCGCCAAGATGCTGTCTGAAGTCGAGGACAAGGTGAGTGTCACCATCTCGGGGTCGCGCGGGCGCTGGCCGGACCATGTGAACCTCTAGCTTACCCTCTGCCGCCCTGACTCTTGTTCGCTGCGACTGCACATACAGCCATGGGGCTGCCAGGAGTTCCACGTCTCTGATCCGGATGGACACCGGCTCATCTTCACGAGTCCGCTGCAAGCTCGGTGACCTCGGCGACCTCTGCGCCGCTCATTATCTTCTGGCCAAGGCACGGAACGCAAAGCATCGCACTGTCAGTCCGTATACCCCCAACTCTATCCTACTACAACGCAGCAGCATCCGCCCTTTGCCCCTCGAACCGCAATGAGCATCATCCTCGGCCCTGTCGTCGGCCACTGTGCCGGGGCGCGTGCAGCCTCACCATGAACCGGCCCTCAGGTCGGACAGCCCCGGCGGTACGCGTGGCTTCCGCGCCTCATTACAATTAGGCTCCGGTGGCCAGCGGCGCAACCGGGCCTCTCCTGCGCACCGCCCTGCGCCGCTGTTCGCCCGGCCGAGCTGTGATGTGCACTATCCTAGAAACCAGGGCCGGAACGGCAGACGGCCTCAGGGCGCCAGAGCCCTTTGTCCGACAAGGCTAGGGTACACGACCACCGTACGATGCTGGCCGATCGGGTGTGCGTGCGTGTGTCTTGGGGTACGCGGTCAATCTGTGCGACGCGCGGCCGCCCAAATGAGCTGCCCCCTCTTTCCTTCTCTCCCCATCCCTCACAAGTGCTTGCGATACTGAACCATGCTGCGCAAGCTGCTCAGACAGGTTGGCTCACCCTCTGAGCTGCCCAGCGACACACCGCAGAGGCAGACTGTCCCACACGCCATCACAGCCGATCCGCCGCCATATCTGGCGCCTCCGTGGCAGCCCTGGGTGCCACAGCGCGTGGCTCTTGGCGACGTCGCCTCTTTTGCGCCGCCCCACGACCACCTGCATGCCCTCGCTCCCGCTGCGGTTGCCGACTGGCCGAATGGCTCCTCCATCAGGCTACCGCCACCACCTCCGCCGCCCAGCATCAGGATGGCCGGCATCGCCTCTTCACCAGCCCTGCTGCCCGCTGCAGGCCAGCTCCCGCACCAGACCACTTCTCTTGGTCGATCGACCCTGCCCTTCCCTGCTTCAGACGAACCGACCCGCAGCCAGATCCAGCCCGCACTCAACGACAACTCGGTTGATCCACCACTTCTTGCGGAGAATGGCGCCGGCTGGACCAGCCTGGCAATAGAGGTAGAGGACAGCGACGTGGCCTTTGATCGCAGCCGCAAGGTGGAGCGCCTAGCGGACGTCGTCCCCCGAGAGCAACCCGTGACGGTGGCGCCTGCCGGAGAAAGCAGCCCACCCTCGTCGCGCCCTCGTCGCACGAGCAAGGCCAAGAAGAGCCTGAGGGAGCGACTCCCGAGCTTCTCATTCGGCCAGCGTCGTGTCGGAGATCAGGCTGCCAAAGACCGCCAAGCGCAGGACGCCGCCACCACGAAGGTGGACACCGCCACGGTCCAACAGCCGGGAAACGGTGCAGATCTCGCCTGGATCGAGGCAAAACGTCAAGCCGAGGACAAGTTTGCGAGCTGGCTCACGAGGTCCGCGACGCTTGGCGCAACGCCTGAGGACGAGGCAAAAGGGGCATCTGAACGACCGCCTATCGTCTCTGGTGATGCAGGCGAACAGCGAATGGGAAAGGCCGCTCCGAACGCCTTGGCCATCGGTGCGGCTCCTGTTTCCGCATCCGAGCAGTCCATCGGCCATCTGACTACAGGCCAGACACCTAAGGACTCGCCTCAGCAGAGCAGGCCTAGCCAAGCTCGGGTCCGCCCAAGAAAGCCAGTCGCTGGCATCGATGCCGACGATCTGGCGACGGAGCTGAGCAGCCTGGTGTCGAAACACCCTCGCCTTCGCGCCAAGCCAAACAAGGCAGAGGGAGCAGCGGCAGCCTCGGGCGATGTGGCTACCACGGGTTCCGCGGCGCCCCTTCTTACGCCCGTGCAACTCCACCTCCCTTGGGTTTCAGGTGATCAGCCGCCGCCGACGGCACATCAGTGCTCAGTCTCTGCCAAGCCCAAGCAAGTCGGCCAGACACAGGTCGACGGCATGACGGCTTCTGGCCATCAGGATGCTCTTCACCAGTCCTCTGTCTTCACCGCACCATCTACGCTGCTGACATTCGGCACTTTGGGTCCTCCCACTGACGACCAGCAACAGCAGGCAAACGGTTCTGATAGCAGCAACAAGCGTGGCAGACAGATGCCGCAGAGCCAGCCGATGCTGCGCGAGGAGCCGACCATGGCGAGCTTCCTGCCGCTTCTCGAGCTGGAAAGGAAAGAGCGGCCGTCGACGGCGCGACGACTGAGCCATGCGCCACGAACGCGATCGAGCCTGGGCGGCGACGACGAAAACGACGATGACGATGAGTGGGGTATCGAACTGGGCAGCTCGGCGGATGCCTCGGTCGTCGACCGCATCGAAAAGTGGCGCAATCAGGTCCGATCGCCCGCACCTAGTGCGGTGGGCGTGGCCGAATCGTCCATCTCGCGTCGGACGGAAAGCTGCAAGGTCGACGACTCGATGTCCAAGCTCACCTCGGTCAGCCGCAGCCCCCTGGGACCGCAACTTACCGTCGCCGTACAAGGAGAGACTGGCGCCGAGATCAGATCGATCGCACCCACCGACGAGCTCAAGATGCCTCATCGGAACGACGCCGGATCGGGTTGCGAGTCGGACGACGGTTCGTCGCAGCGCACCATCGAGTGCCAGGAGTCGCCGCTACGCACCAACATGACGCCCCTACGGAGGTTCGGTCAGCCTCTGGGCCGTGTTCAGCTTCTGGATCGCGCCGAGGGCGGGAAATCCGCATCATCCTCGCAAGTCATCGCGCCAACGACCAAGGGGATCGAGGCTGGCTACCGTCCAGTGGCACAAGGTGCACCGAAGGCCGGCCGGATCGTCGCGCGAGACAAGCCGTCGAACCAGTTGGTCGGAGCTAAGACGCTAGGCACGCGCCACCATTACCGGCTCAGCGACTCGGAAGCGGAAGCCGTCTTCAACCCAGCTTCGAACCGCGCCTCGCCACCGCGCGTGTCCGGCCACCGTTCGTCGCCTTCCACCGAGCAGCAGACGACTACCTCGACGCCGTCGCCCACCGCCTTGTCGAGCCGTTCACGCCAGGGCATCGATACGTCCTCGCCAGACGTTAAGCGCGCCTCTTCGTCGTCGGCACAGACATCCGATGTCCAGGCCATGCAGCGCGAGATGCTCGCCAAGGCCGTAGATCGACTCACGTCGTACGTCGAAAACGCCGGTACGTCCTCGTCCTCGTCCCGCTGCTACCACTTCCGATCAGGGCACGCGTCAATTGACTGACGAGCTGTGCGTTTGACCGTCAAACAGGCGAATTGACGAGCCTGCAAAAGAGCCTTGTTGCTCTTCACGAAAAGCTCCTCGCCACGTCGCCGTCGTCGCCTGGAAAGAGGGACGACCTCGATGCTCGAGTCGCCCTGGTGAGTGCCGCACGCCGGAACACCGTCTTCCCGACATTCACGCACGTCGTCAAGACGCCTGGCCTCGCTGACCATCCCAGCTGGGAAAGTCTCTCTTTGCGGCCCTGCATCGGGACGACCGTCTTGCCTGCCCCGTCTCCAGCTCGAAAAGGCCGTCTTTGCTTCCTCGCTCTCACCATGACCGCGATGCCGGAAACACCGATCACAAAAGAAGATCGCAACCCTACACCTCCGAGCGACGCCAGCTGATCGCCTCAGAGATCGTGATCAAGATGCAGGCGCTCGTCGGATTACAATTTGCCCATCGACTTCGAACAACATCACCGCACGCCCGTCGAGGCGCGTTTGAAAGCGAGCCCCCTAGTCTCGCAGGAGGGCGTTGACGACGTGGTGCACGCGGAGCTGTCGGAGGTCCGTGTAGGTCTGACCCGTTCCGAGGAAGTAGATGGGCAGACCGGTAGCCGATGTCGTCGTGAGCGCCGTTCCGACCTTGTCCTGTTGATGGGCGAGCGAAGGGGGGGG